TACTGAACATCTCACTGTTTTTTCAGTTAGAGTAGAATGAGGTTTGGCAGACAGAGCAGTGGGAGCCAGAACACAAGAAGAGAGGCGAGGTGACATGTGGCAGAGGAGAGCAGCGCAGTTGTGTAGAGTGTGACCTTCCAGGTGCAGAGTGGAGGTCGGAGGTCTTGGATATTATTATGTACATGAAAGGGAGCCGATGAAGAATTTTTAGGCAGGAAACTCGTTTTGGCTGTTGAGATTTATATTTTAGGTACGTCACTCTAGCTTGAGGATAGAAGGAGGATTTGAGAGGAATAAGACTATAGGCAAGAACACCATTTGGAATGCTTTAGAAGTACCCATATGAGATGGTAAGGCCTGAATTAGGCCACTGGTGGGAGAGGGGAGAGATTTCAAAATATTTTTGGAGATATAATCTACAGGACTTGATCAGATGGATGCTTCTGGAGAAGGAATGAGAAAATTTAGGAAGGAATCACAGATGGCTCTCAAGGTTTCTATTTTGGGTGTCAGGGTGCATATTGGTGCCAGTAAAGTAGAACTCGTCAGTTGTGTCTTGTTGAGTTAATTCTGGCTCCTAGCAACCCTGTAAGGCAGAGTTGAACTACCACTCCATAGGGTTTCCTAGGCTGTGATCTTTATGGGAGCAGGCCATCTAGTCTTTTGGAGCTTTGGCAAGTTCAGATTGCTGACTTTTCAGTTAACAGCAGAGTGCTTAACTGCTATGTCATCAAGGTTTCTTAGAGCATACTAAAAAGGCTAACTTGAAAGAGAACAACAAGGTTTGCTTTAGGGAAACTGAGGAAATATGTTTTACCCAAAATAAGACAGAAAGTCATTAATAGTCTCAGCTGCAAAAGTGAGGTTCACTGAAACATGAACTGGAATCACTTATGAATTCTGCACCCAGGAGGCTGTTGGTGCCTTGGTGAACCTTACTTTATTTGACAGTTTGGGACAGAAGCAAGATTGCAGTGACTTGAAAGAGTTGTTGAAAGATGAAATACTTTGGAAAATGTGTGCAGTTTAAAGTGAAGGACCAAAGGGAAATGAAACAAGGGCACCCCTTAGTGAGAGGAAATGACATAGTCGCCTTAAGAGGGGTTTCAGACATGAACCATTGGGAAGATGACACTGGACCAGACGGCAGTTCTTTATGTTTATGGAAGGCACAGAGAAGCCAGGAACCGGGGCTGACTTCCTGGCAACTGAAAACAAGCAAACAAACAAAAGACCAAAACCAAGCTCACTGCCGTCGAGTCCATTTTGACTCAGAGCGACCCCTCCTTGGGTTTCCGAAGCAGTATCTCTATGGTAGTAGATTATCCAATCTTCTTCCAAGGAGTGGTTGGTAGGTTTGACTCACCAGCTTTCTGGTTAGCAGTCAAGTGCCTTAGGCACTATGCCACCAGGGCTCCCAAAACAACAAAGGACCTGCCAAATGGAAGTTGAAAGTGCAGGACTTCGAGTGGACAAAGAATGGGACTAGGGTACTAGAGGAGGCAGGAGGGAATGGGGTGAGCAGCACATAGTGGCATTGACCTCGAGCTGGAGACAGAAACACCTTACCCTCTTGAGAGTGGCAGGGAAGTGGCCAGGACTGTGGTGGATAACTGCTCTTGAAGATGACTTGCCAGCTTCACCCACAGTCCCAAATGCAGTTAAGCATACCCGTTGCCGTGGAGCCAATTCCAACTCATGGGGGCCGAGCATGCAGAGTGAAACTGCACTCCTTTCTTCCCAGGGGCCTGGGTTCCAACCGCCAGCCTTTTAGGTTAGTAGTCAAGCACTTAACCAACCATCTGTGTCACCCAGGGACTCTCTAAACTAACCTCAGAAAAAGTAGGATTCTGCTTCAAAGAAAAAACAAAATACTGTTTCAGAAATACCTCTTTAGATATTCTGTTTATTCTGGCATATGAACTCTGATTTTTCAAATTGTGTAGTACTTTGTGTCTTCCATGTCTATATGCCACATAGATCAGATCAGTAGTCCATTTATGTAGCTCATATTGAGCGTAAGGCTTAACTTTGCCAGAGCAATTGCTCTTGTTCTTGTCTTTTTAAAATATCTGTTTAACTGCTTGTTTTATTAATAAATAAAATTGATCATTTTTGCTCTCGTGGATGAAAGTCCTCTTTTTCACTTAGTCTTTTGCCAGTCAACCTAAAATGTCTTTAGAAATAAAGCTGACTTTCAAAACTTTCAGTTATTATCTTACTAACACATGGAATTTGTTTTAGTCAGATTGGCCTCCTTCTTGTGACTGATATTTCCTGTCTATTTTAACTACTCATTTTCAGATCTGTCTTTTGTTCAAATTCTGTCACATCCTCCATTGTGTGTTTTACATATTGGAAGCTGATAACTAGCAACTATACTGAACACGTGCTTCCTGTCCCTTCCCGCTCCTCGTTGTCTAATTGCTTGAGCTATTGGTAAGCCCCTATTGTTGTTGTTGTTGTTATATGCCGTCGAGTCTGACCCAACTCATAGCGACCCCTCCTTGAGTTTCTGAGGCAGTATCACTACGGAAGTAGATTGCCCAATCTTCCTTCCGAGGAGTGGCTGGTGGGTTTGAATCACCAGCCAGCCTTATGTCATCTTACCACTTTTTGATAAGGTCCTTTTGCCCTACCAGGAGATACAGTCATGTTCTTTTTCAAAATTTTTCTTCTTTCTTAGTGACAGTGACGGTAATGTCAGTAAGCAATATATGCTAGATCCTTCCGGCGCTAAGAATGTTAAAGGAATGTTAGATCGTATCAGATACTACCTCTTAATGTAGTCCCTGGTTTTAATGGAGAAGAAATTATTTGACTGTTATAATTTAATTTTTTGTTTGGAAATTTACTGCCAAGAAACTGAACTGAACTCTTTAAATATATCTCACCAAATAAATATGGACCCTTAGCCCTTATCTCTTCAAGTAGTATACTTCAGTTCTTAGCAGACGAGATGGTTTCTTATATTTCCAGTTTATTCTTTCTCATGCTGATGATGAACATGGCTTAAATAAGATCATTAGCAGAAACTAAGCTGCAGTCACATTTTTCAAAAGTAACTAAGCCTCCCCCCTCCTGGGACTCTCAATCTGCCTGGTGACTGAGTCCTCAGCTTCCAGATGCTGTGCCTTCATTAGTGATGTGAGGCCACGGCGTGAGCGACATAACATCCTTTGTTCTTGTCAGATTGTTGCAGCAGCTGACCTTACGTTGAAATCAGCAGTTGTATATCTTTGTTTAAAATTAGTTACTTAAGAAAAAATTTTCCTAAATGAAAGATTATTTCTGTTTGCTTAGTGAAATAGTATTAAATATATTCACAATCCACTTAGTATTATTTTGCCTAATAGTAAATTTATGGTAGACATCGGCTGTATATGACATGTTAACTTTAATCCTATTTAAGCCTTAGTGTGAAACAGGATATCTCGAACCCGATCTGCTTTGAGTATGAAGAAAAGTGATGACGTTAATGCTGATAAACTATCTTTCATACTTTAGAAATGCATTTTTAGTATGCTAATAAATAATGGCAACTGAAGTCGAAATTGGAGGTTTAACCTGTAAGTAGAGGGTTCTGGTAGGGTGGAAAAGCCTCAGACTGGGAATCAGGAGACCTGAGAACTAGAGTTCTAGGCCCAGTTCTGGCACTAAACTAATAGTATCCTTGCACAGTTGGTTGATTTAATCTCTCAAAAGTAAGCTCTTTGGACAAGATCAGTCACCTTCCAACTTTATGTGATTTAAATCTACTCAGAAGAAAAAAAGATGAATATATACTTTATCTTGGTTTAAAGTGCTTTAGAATTTTGCTTTTATAAAGCTGTAAAGCCAACTCCTGTCAGTATATGTACTATATATATATATATTTAAATAAAGAAATGCAAATGTGTTTTAAATTTTAATTTTATACCTGATGTCTCTTTGGGGACTTATACATAGAATAATTTCCATAAGCATGAATTAGAGCCAGTAAACGAAAAGACTGTACTCTACTCTTACATAGAATTCATATTTTAGCTTTATAGCATAATTAAAGATGATGAAGGTCTTACCCCGTTTTACCCTTAGATATATTGTCTTATTTTACATTTTTATTGTGAAAATTCTCTAAGTGTGATACAACTTCAGGTATTCGCAAATCTGTCCATTTTAGCCAATTTATAATAAATAGAATATTAAACTTTGTCTTCATAATTACACTTGACTTTTTTTTTTTTTTTTTTTTTTTTAAGTAGGCTCCTGCATTTTATATTTATATATACCAAAAACTCAAACCCACTGCTGTTGAGTTGATTCCAACTCATAGTAATCCTATAGGACAGAGTAGAACTGCCACATGGTGTTTTCAAGGTTGTAATGGTTAAGGAAGCAGACTGCCACATTGCTCTCCCTTGAGCAGCTACTGGGTTTGAACTGCCAACATTTCTATTAGCAGCTGAGTACTTTAACTACTGTGGTTATATTATATATATATTTATTTAAATGTGTTATATATTTATATTGCCAGTAGCATAGTGGTTGGATTACATGAAACCCACTGCTGTCGAGCCGGATCCGACTCATAGCGACCTCTCCTTAGGTTTCCGAGGCAGTATCACTACAGAAGTAGATTGTCCAACCTTCCTTCCAAGGAAGGCCAGCCTTCTGGTTAGCAGTCAAATGCTTTAGGCACTACGCTACCAGAGCTCCTAAATGATATATATATATATATATTAGTTTTATTTTGTTAGTTTGTTTTGGTTGCAAAGTAAGGTGCAGCCTCTTTATTTAAAGGCATCAAATACGGGAATGCAATCAAATGTCTTTAATTTCCACACACACAACCTTAAATAAATAGTTTTTTTAAATTTGTAATTCCCTAGAGAGTTTCTTAAGATCATAGGGGATGAACTTAACAATTGAGTTAGTCAAGTGAATGAAAGAGGTCTTGCCCACCTCCTTACAATGTGTTCCTTTGATTTGGTAGTAATTGCTGCTTTTATTTTGCACAGACTCAAATCCAGTACCTCAAGCAAGTCCAGCAGCCTAGCGTTGCCCAACTGAGATCAACAATGGTAGACCCGGCGATCAACTTGTTTTTCCTAAAAATGAAAGGTGAACTGGAACAGACTAAAGACAAACTGGAACAAGCCCAAAATGAACTGAGTGCCTGGAAGTTTACGCCTGATAGGTAAACAAATCATACTCCCCAGTCAAGACTTCCCTGACAGTCCCACTGCGAGAAAGCGGTGGTGGGACAGCCACGCACTCGTTTCCTCACCAAGACTCAGACTTTTTGAGCCAAAAGCCACATTTTTATATTGTCCAGCTTGTAATGGGTAATGTAAAACTTACCAGGTGAACCTTGTGTTTCAGCTTTTTTCTCTTCCCCCTCCCCTTGCTTCAGAGGCCTGATGGCGTCGGACTATTCCGAAGAAGTGGCTACCTCCGAAAAATTCCCCTCCTAGGAATTTTAGACACTTGAGAAATGTTTCTGTTTGAAGAAAAGAGAGGGAGAAACAGAAGTCTTAAGTCTGTGGCACACTGTGTCTTCAGACAGTGTGGAGCAATGAACACCTAGAGATTTTAAGTCATGAATTGAACATGTAAAATTCCAGTAAAATATAAAATGGAATATGCATCGCTCTTAACCTTGAGCATAGTGACTTAGAGACACTGTACATTAGTTTTGTCAATAAGACTGTGTGGACTTGGATTGTTGTTGAACTTCTGGGTCAAAACTTGAATAAGGGTAATTCATTTTGCCTTAAAAGGGTTTATTTGCTAAGAACCAACTTTTAATAGTCATGAGCATCAACTAATAGATATCAGTTCACATAGTTCATACACGTAATAACCATTTGGCTTGGGCTCTGTAACTTGATTGAGCCTTAAATCAGTGAGTGGTATGCTCTGAATGGTCGTTAATGCTGCAGACAATCTTATCAAGGACTGTACAAACATGGAGGTGTGGTTATCAAATTCAGGTGGAAACTGTTTGCAACATTATAAACATTCATTTCACAACTAGACTGTATAAGGATACTGGTTGGGGTGAGACGCCTGTGTTATTTTTTCAGTAGTGAAATTGATTAAACCCCCATTCCATTCAGCAGGCACATGTGGAAAGAGCATTGTCGTGGTGTTAATGGGGGATGTGTTCCTTCATTGTATTTGGGCCTTTTGTTGTATTGCATTCATGATATTCAATATGCCTCGAAATAGTTGATTTTCAAAAGTTCAAGGAATACTACGATGATTTGTTGTACTCTTTAACATTTTGGGGGGCTGTGGAGAGCAGGGTGCTATTGGAGAAACTGTTGCTGTGCTCTTCAGAGTGAAGGAAAAGGCTCTCTGTCTCATTTTTAAAGACCACCTATTGTCCAGCTGACACCATTACAGAGAAGGAGATTTGACACTTGTTACTTTTTGACATTTTATCCCAAGAAATTGCAGTAGAAATTAATGCGGGACAGCTTCACAGGGTGCCTGCCAGAAGATTGGGGAGATACTGTCTTGAACTGTGGGCTGGCCTAAGTGAGAGACCCTGTGGATTGAAAAGGTATTAGTGATCATTTCTAGCCAATTGCTGTGCTCATTTACATAAATGAGGCCTGTGTTCTTCATGCTTCCATCCAATCCTGGAGGTGAATTTTTTCGTCAGCTCATTCTCTAAGTCACCAATTCGAATTTTCCCTTGGTGATAATGGAGTCTAAGATGAGTGGAAGATAAATGGCCCAGCTTGTCCCAGCGTTTCAGTGCAGTTTTACCAAGGGTGACTTAAGTTCTGTGTTAAATCATTCAAATCAATTGTAAGTATCTTGTATGTTTGTGCTTTAGGGAACTGAGTGGTGGGGCAGAGGGGGGGATTCAAGAAGTGGTTTGTGTGACTTTTCAGCAAGAAATCTGCTTTTAAACTTCTCACCATTTGTGGGGGTTGGAGGGGTAAGTAAAACATGTTTGAAATGCGCTTGCTGTGTGCCACATTAAGGCTTCAGTATATCTCTTAGGGCTTTTAAGATTACAAGGAAGTGGCCTGAGTATTAGTTGAGAAGTAATTCATAAGTGTGTTATTAACATGTACTCAAATTTAGCTAGCATCTTTCTTTACCTCTTAGTTAACAGTCACTTTGAGGCCTGTTCTTTTTTGTTGTTTAAAAATTATACATGCTTGTGTGTATAATTAAAACTGTGAGGAAAGGTAGAGGTGAAAAGTGAGAGTCACTCCTTGAAGTGACCTTGGCCTTCCCCATCCTGTTCTCCAGGAGCAGTAACCATTGTTAAATTTCTTAGATATCAAGATCCTTTATACATATACACACAAAATCATTGTGTGTATACTGCTTTTTAACATGTGATTATACCGTATGCACAGATGTTTTTGCAGCTGGCTCCCCCACCCCAACCCCTTGGGCATTGCCCCCTCCCTTTTTTTTTTTTTTTTAGCATATCTAGATTATTTTAATAGTTACATAACATTTCTGTTATTAATTATCATAATTTATTTTAATCATTTACAGATGAATTTTTGTTCTGTGGAAAATAAGCTATAAACCAGAATATATGGGACTATAAATACATTGTTAATTAGGAACAAATGGTCAATCAGTACTCTGTCTGATTTGAATAGAATTGTTTTCTTAAACTCACCTATTAACAGTTTTAATTTTGAGGGAGAAGATTCCCTGGGTTAACGATCTTTTCTACTTTAGTTAAAATATTGAATTGTTGCGATAGTGCATATGTTCTGCAGAGCTATAATTCAGTATTTTGGCCATTTTCGGTTTGCATTTAATCATTTAGTTTATTGTGTATACATCTCTCCAAAGGATCTCGTCCTTTAATAACTAAAGCAAATGTACAGTGTCTATTCTTGTTTATAAATTCCTCCCTTGAAGGATTTTCTAATTGCTTTGTGGTTCGTAGATTTATTTATTTTAGGATTGGGCTGGATTTTTTTGTTCTAATTTTAAAAGTTATTCTGAAGATGGTTTTACTTTTAATTGAATTATTTTTGTGATATGTTGTGAGCATAATGTGAATTTTACAGGACATAGTTAATAAAATGAAGCAAAATTACAGAATTTAAGGATTAGCAGTTTCTTTAGATTTGTTGTAGGAATCTAATTTTAGAAATGATAATCATTATCTGAGAACAGGAATTTATGAAAAGGTATGAATTTATCGACGAAACATTTTTTGCATTAGGATTTGTGATACTATTAAGTCACAAGTTAATGTATTGATTTTACAGTTGTCTTTTTTCCTAATTTTTATTAAATTCATATGAAAGGAAAGAAATTTCACATTGGTTGGAAAACAGTGATGCTAGAAAATAAAGAAAACGCTAAGAAAATCAAGCTGTGGGGCGTCGGCAGCCAGTGGAGAGCTCCATTGTCGTTGACGATGGCATCTCTTTCCTCTGTTTCGTTCCTAAGCTCTTCAGCAGAGGTGATGTCTGGGGGCTGGAGGGAACATGGAGCACAGTAGCAATGAACAAGGACACCAGCTGAGAAAATTGCCATGTAGAGGAATAAAACTCTGGCCACGTGTAACCCAAGCTTTCTTCTTAGGCTCCTTCAAACCGTAGTGACCCAGGTTTTACTATACCACATGTTTTTGTAAGGAAATTTAAATGACATGCTTTTGCTTGAATTATGTTAGGTAAACACATGCTTGATAAAAGAATCTTGCAACACTGCTTCAAAGAATGCTCCCATTTTCAAAGTTCTAAGGTGTGATAGGATTAGGCACATTCTGAAGTAATGCATTAGGCAACTGAAAGCCCTGCTAAAAGAAGTAAATAGCCAAAAGAAATCAATTAAACATCATAATAATAACCAGGAAGGTCATTCTGCATTTAACCATTTACAAGAACATTAAACACTACCTATTCAAGTCTCAAAGATAACGTAATTATATCCCTAAGCCAGAGTCCTTTAAAAAGGTTGATAATCTCTAGTTGTTGCTGAGGCTAAAGAAAAGCTGTTTTTATTGTGAAATTTATGAAAAGTTTGTGATTGTTGTTTATGTGTATATAGGTTCCTATAATCTGTATGGCAAGGAGCACTGTTGATGCAGTGATTAAATGCACAGCTGTGAACTGAAGAGTCATCAGTTCTAAGCCACCAGTGCTCCACAGGAGAAAGATGGGGCAGTCGGCTTCCATAAAGATTGCAGGCAGCCTTGGCAACCTTATGCGACAGTTCTACCCTGTCTTGTAGGGTCATCATAAGTGAGAGTTGACTCGGCATACAACACCATAGTATGTTACACTAGCAGTTGGAAACCAATTGGTGGAAAGTATGGCACTCCTAATGTAGTAAAAATTTGCATCCATTATTATAAATAACCCTACCATATATTTGTGTCCCTAGGATAACCTTTTATAACGTGAATAAAATCTTAACTACATATCATCATTAAATTGATAAAATGTGAAATGTGTTGCAACTTCTGTCCCAATTTAAGATAATTGCAAAATACAAGTAACACAGAAAAGAAGTTAAGTGAGCGGTTGGTGACTGTAAACAGCCTTAAGGCTTAAGAAAAACTTGATTACTTGAACCTGCCTTATCTACTGCAGTGTATTCTTGAGAAGTGTACAAGATGAGTGTACTGGAGAACTGCCTGTTAAGAGGAATTTACTAAAGGCATTTCTAGCAAGAAAAAATAGCCATATTCGTTTCTGTTTCTAGGCACTGCTTTTCATGTGTTGTGTATTTTAAAGAAGTGTATGTTTGTGGTTGATGTTGAACAAGCCTTTTCAAGAACTTTATTGTTCAATAAAGCTAATAAGTACCATAGAGTTTATTAATATTGGTGTCTTCAAGAAGCGTGTGTTAATTAACTGACCTAATGAGCTCTGGTAGCATAGTGCCTAAGGCACTTGACTGCTAACCAGAAGGCTGGCGGTTCAAACCCACCAGCCACTCCTCGGAAGGAAGGTTG